AAGGGCGCTAGAAGCTAGGCAAAAACCCCAGAGCAATTAATTTGTCTCTGTGTGTTTCTGGTTAGATGAATACATCAAACCAAAATCCCTGGTGACTATAAGGAGAACTTACACACCTTGCTCCAGATAGACACCTTTATAAAGGTGTTGAAATATAGGGGTGTATTGATTTGGACTTGAGTCCTTTTCTTTCTGTAGGCAAAAGGTGTAACATCAGGGTAAACTAATTTACAGTTTACAGCAGAAAAAGGCTTTTTTTCTAAATTAACTTACTTTATGTAACATGACTTTTTTAAAATACTATCATGTCTTCATGGTCCTTCTGTGGTCTGACATCTTTCAAGACATTTCTTCCTGGATTATATTGAAATATTGTATTAACTTATAAACCTCTTCCTAAATTTTAAATGGTTATTTCCCATCAATCCCTATTAGCCATTTTCACTTGAAAACATTTTGTTTTATCCAGGAAAGTAGTCATGGATCCTTTGTCAATACCATATGTTTCGCAGGCCATCAGGTAAATGTTATTAAACATCAGTCCTGGACAGTGCTGGGCTACACTGGATCAGTTTCTTGGGGCTTGTTCAGTCTTTGTGTTTTCTGCTACAGTCAGTACAGTGCTAGGAAAGGTCCCTCTGTGTCAAACTTTCATTCGTTGTGAGGTTACTAAAGCAGAGCTGCACATAGCTTGATGTTGGGCTCTCTTGAAGCTTGGCCAAGACAATTTCCTCCTTTATATTATTTGTGTAGCTGTGCTTAGTTCTGCCTGTTCAAAGACCTCCATATTATTTATTTTGGCTGACGTTTTAATATAAATATTTAGTTCAGGCAGCCACAAATAAAACTTCTGTGAGATAGTCTTATATCTCTCCCGTGAAAAGAATTTGTTTAGTTCAGTGCTGTTATAGATTCAATTTGTCATTGATGCTGTTATTGTTAGACTTATATATTCTTAAAAATAGCACTTCCCCATCCTATTCACAGTACTATACCATATGTGCACATGCCAGGTAAGGTAAGAGAAACTGCTGAGAACATTAAACTTATGTCCAGTAGTTCTGAAACAGATTTGTAAGCCCATGTCCATTTTTAGTGCCTTAGTTTTTTATCTCCTGGCTATTAGACCTTTGTTGGTCTTTTGCTAAATATTTTTGCCCAGTGTACCTGATTTCATCAGCAAAGTTCAGGTCTCCAGGCTTAAGCTGTTATTTGAGGAATTGACTGGAGGTTTGTGGAAGAAAAAAACATCAGTAATGGCACTAAACAGCATGACAGAAACACATACTATAGGAGAAACATCAGGCCACTTAACTCCCAACTGGAGATTACAATATGTTTAGCATCTCTAAAGGTTCTGGGTGGTTTTTTTACACAGGTTCTGTATGTGTGTAGTATTTCCGCTAATACTCTTCAAGTCCTTCTGAAAGTTAACAAAACCTAGGGCAGGATGTTGGTGCTTTTCATTGATTCATTCAACACTCTCACATACTACAAAAACATTAACATTTCAAAAGAATCTCCACAGAACTGTAGTTGTTAGTGTCATAACTCATTTCCTTTTTCTTTAATCATTTTTGATGATTCCTTTCCTCCATTATTCTTACATTCTCTTTTTGCTGAAACTTGTAACAAAAAAAAAAACCCAACAGTGGCAAATAGTGACTGGTTATTGGAAAGTAAATGAATGGAGTAAGCATATTGTGATACTTAACCCAAACCACTCCCCCACCTCCACTAACTTGTGGTACAGAGTCAAAAATATTATCTTTGCAAGGGATTTCAAGAGCGTCTTCTAGTTCTTAGCAGAACTTTTTTGAGCTATGTTGAAAAGATTTTGTCACGGCTTTTGGAAATGCAAGTGTAGCATTCTGATGACGCTGACATCTGTACATAAGCTTCCATATGGACAAATTTAAAAAAAATCTAAAAGAGAAACGTATTGCCAGAACCAGATAATATTCACTCAGGAGCTTCTAAAAAAGACTGAAAATGTGGAAATGTAAGCTGGATGTTATGATCTTTAACTTTAAACTGAGTCTGGAATGAGGAAAATGCCAGGTCTGTTTACCTGACACCAGCTAATAGGGTAGGTCTTGTCTCAAAAATAATGAAATGATAATAATGAAAGCAATGTTTTATCTGATGTCCAATTTTATAGCACTGAAATGATGAAAACTTTCAAGACCAATATGTTTTGGAGAGAGCTTAAATTGAAGATTCAATCCAGTATCTGACCCAGATTAATTCAGTAAGTGAAGTACCCTCAAAATAACACATATTCCCCATTCCTTATTTTTTGCCCAAACCAATAGTCAGGGAAGGAAAGTGACATCCCATTAGTGATTTCTCATAGCTCATTCACTGATGTGTGCATGACCCTCGCCTTCCTAGGACTATTTGGAAAAATGTTGACCTAGCTTCCTCCTTTCTGTAGTCACCTGGCTATTTCATGTTGCTATATAAATCTGCTTGTCCTTTGGCTATGCTCCTGATTGCTGGTCTTGCAGATGACCAGTTCTTTTAGTACAGGGACAAATTAATTTCAGTGGAGTTATGCTGGTTCACAGTATCTGAGAATCTCTCCCTCGCTGTAAACCTCTAAGGGCAAAATTAATACTTAAGAGAAGTAGTGGACTTTTTGTCCTTTGAATTAACATCACTGAACTATAGCTGAGTGTAAAAACGATTCTTTTGGAAGTATGAATTCTTTCTTGTGAATTCTCAGTTGGATCTGGAAAGCAGATTTAATACAAACATTCAGCAACTTGTCTTTTATGAAAGGTTTCCAACTAGAGTTTTGATTCGCCTCCAGATACTATAAACCATGCTGACATCTGTGCAGAACTAGCTTTGGCCTTGGATATGAGTGATGTGGAAGTCGTAGTTTCATATTGATCACTTGAAAACATCTTTAAATAATAATGTTTTCTAATGGTAAAATTCAAAGAAGTTATTGTCACACGGAGTTTCTTACTATGCCTTCTGTCAAGAAAATACTGTGAAAATAGTTTCAGACAGCGCCATGAGCATTTGGCTCAGAATAAATTTCCATAATAATGAACATAATTATTAATACGAATAATTGCATTTTTGTCAGACTTTTGGCTACATTACAGAACATTTAGAAAAATGAACTACAAGAAAAGACAAAAAGTGAATGTGTAAAAACTCCTGTGAATTTGGAAATACCTGTTTAAAACTCATGCAAAACATCTTCCTTGTTGGTTTTTCAGAGCAAGCTTTTTTTGCCCCGTAAATTTCCTTTGCATGTTCCTGGCAGCAATCCTCCTGTAGAAGAGGGATCCCTGTTGGTGTGCAGCCAATGTAAAGGGCGTCCCTCCACACCCTGCCAGGACCAGCAGGTCGGTGGGGAGGCAGCACCCCGGTCAGTTGGGACCTCAGTCATCCTCCAGCATCAAGATGTCACAGCCGGGCAGTAGGCTTGAATGAAGGAGACTCAACTGACCTTCTCTATCTGCTCCTCTCAGCTGAGACCCATAGGATCCCAGCAGTAGGTTCACCACCCCTTCCTTCTTATTGATTGTTAGAAACTGAATTGATTGAAAGATGATCCCTTTCCCTAGGAGTATTCTCTAAGCAGAGCTCTCTACCTGAGGAGAAGGCACTGACTAAGCCCTGCAAACCAGTGGCTTGGTGCGAGCAGATGTTGGTACGTAAGTTCACCTGGACAGAGGATTAAGACCTTAGTCATCTGTGTAAAAATCAGGTGATGCTGTCATGTTAAGAGGCAGCCCTGTTCTTCGTTTTCCTCCCATCCTGCACCTTCAAAATCCTGATGTCACTCTAGAGGATTTTGTCTCCACCAACTCCCAACAACTAGAGAAATTTGACAGAAACACAAGCCACCTGTGCTATGTAAAATGAAAGACTTTTGTGGAAATCCTTTATCTTTCTCTCCAGCAGAGCATTTCAGGCAGTCTGCTGCAGTGATGCCGATGCGAACCAGCAGCCTGGCAGGGGTAGCTGTATTAGCCCGATGGCTGCTATAGAGTAACTGCAAAGCCAGCTGGGGAGTATCAGTGCTATATGGATATCACAGAATCACAGAATGGTTTGGGTTGGAAGGGACCTCAAAGATCATCTAGTTCCAAC